CGATTTTCTGAAAATTCAGGTATGATTTTTAAAGTTTTCTTTCAAGTATATTTCTGCGCATTGCAGCGCCAATATTCTGCACTGCTTCAAAATCACCCTTGATTTTTTTTTTGCAACAAATTTGATACGAGGTCCACGAGTGTTCCCCGTTCCTTGCGTGTTGAAAGTTTGGTAATACATAGTTTGCATTGACTCGTGCACGAAAAAATGGTCAAAAACAAAATGTCAAATGAAGAAATAAACAAGCTTTTGTATAGTTATAAGAGTTCTACCGAGGTTTCTTTGTCGATTTAATTTATTATATAGTCTCAATTAGAATTCAGAATTATCTCACTGAAAAGTTAAGAAACTGACGATGTTCTCGATCGTAGTTATTTTCATTTTGCCAGCAGCCGATCTAGCATTGTTTGGGCAAAAAGCTAGACCGCTGCCTTCCCACCGCCAACCTTTCCGAGTCCCGCTAAAATGGCGCGCTGCGGAGCTCCGAAGCTGCGTTGGTATCGCTGCAAACTCTCAGCCGGCTAGCTCCCCACGACGGACCATTCGCGGTATGGTGAGAGTGTGTGTGTGAGGTATGATTTTGGATTCGAGAACGCACGTAACGCAACCGTGCGCGTCATTTAGAGCTGTCGAATGTGTACGACCAATTTTACATGTACGATTTTTAGTACAGATACTTGGTCAGTTTTCTTCTTATATCTTTGGTTTTACAATATTTAAAAATATAATTTCTTCAAATCTGACTCGGTTCAGACTAATTGTCTGATGTGTTTTCAAGTCAATTTTTTGAATATATTTTTTTGCATGAATTTGCCTAGCAGGGGGCCGTTTCTCGAAACCGTCAGATCAACGACATCTCGCCACTGTCACGCAACTTGTCAGCTAAGTGTTTCACGAAGCCGTCTTTGCCAAATGAGCGACAACTTCTGCGACAAAGAGTTGTCACTGCTCCGAATCCGTCATATCTTTTTAATTGCTGTAAAGCGCCATCACAAGTTAGTTTGTTGCCATTCCATGGGCCGCGAAATGTACGATTAGTTTCACTATCAATTTGAGAAAAATATAGGCCTAGACGAGTTCGGTACGTAATTCTCTGGGATGCTAAATGCAAATGTAAAGAAGTGACAATACAAATTATACAGACATTTTAAAAAGCTGAATATAAAAATTAAATCACAAATCATTAAACTATAGTATAACATATAAATAAAAGAGATAAGAATGTTACACACCGTTGTCCATAGTCAATTAATAGTCTTTCTTAGGATACCATCATACCTTTGGGGCCTATGACCATTATTATTCCCTCTCTAGTTACTTCTTTCAAATTATATTTTCAATATCAAATCATTTATGTAACGAGTATTATGAGACTCTAGAATAAAAACTGGCTGAGAAAAGGTATTTTGCCTAAAATTCCTCGTCACAAGAAACAAAAAAAGTACGTATTGATAAACTATCACATTATGGTATCCTTCAACTACCTTTTGAGTGGATTGTCGAGAAAAAAAAACTCACCGGTTTTTCTTCAATTTAAGAATCTTTACAGAAATATGCAAATCGTTTGATGATCTACATTTGATAATGACACTTTTTGTTATTTATTTTAAGAGAATTAATGTGTATGTTTCTTTTTTAACAATTTTAGCCCCTAAACTTGTTTTGGGTTATTCGTGATAAATCAAATGGATCGTGACAAAGACTATGTTCTTGAGCTGCTAGTATCGCGATATATCAATATCATGTCTGTCATGGCTTTGTGAAACGGTTTATCCACTTCATGACATCTCCGTAGGTCGCCGACAAAGATATGACTGTCATGGAGTTGGTTTCGAGAAACGGCCCCCAGGTTAACAGTGGTATCACTATCACTGTCGTGTCACTGTGCATGCTGTGGAACGTTTAACTTTCGTATCCATTTTTGACCTGTAACTCTGGCGTGGAAATCAACGAAAAACTTCCTCAATTGTTCGAATAATGGTCATTATATTTCTCACCCCTTTCGTGTCAATTTTCAAATTTTCATATCTTTTTTGGAGTATTTTTTCTAAAAACGAAGACAGTTAATATTCACTTTCTCACAGGTTTCATGGCAAACAATTGCACACTGTACCGTACCAACGAAGGGCCAGGGTGCGATTGCGCGAGAGCGCGTGAAGTCGATTAATACAGTCGATAACTTCACGCACGCTCGCGCCCGCAACCCTTCTCATTAGTACGGTAACATGGTACGGTATGTAGTTGAATTGTAATTGTGCAGCAGTTTGCCTTGAAGCCTGTGATGTGAGAAAGTGAATATTATAATGTCTTTGTTTTTAGGAACAATACTCCAAAAAAGTGTCGGTCATTATCCAAATTACGTGTTAGGCAAAATAAATGCCTGGTCACGTGTACGCTTTCAACCAATCATTTGATTAGGATCCAATCATCATCTTGAGCTTTTGACTGTCAAGTGGATTTGGCGCCTTATAAATATTATTATTATTATTATATAATGTATCTTATTAATTTTTTTTGTAGTTGGCTTGCGGGTAATATTGGTACCACCAACAACATTAACCTATTTTAATTTGAAAATCAATTTTTAAATGTTCACAGATTTTTTCAATTTGTTATCTTACACAGTGATCCTGCCATGAAGCAGTTTCTTCTTCACCTGGATGAGAAGAACAAGCTTGGTAAGAAGTTTATCCTGCAGGACCTTGATGAGACGCACGTCTTCATTGAACCAGAGATCCTGGATGTCCTTCGTGAGAAGATCAATGACTTGATGGATCAGAATGCCTTCTCAGTCGTAGGCCAGCAGTGAAGTCAAAGTAAGAAGATGTTGGCGACACCATTGTCATTGATCCAGGCTTCATGGACTTCATCCATTGTCTTCATCGATCTAGAGATCCTGGATGTCCTTCGTGAGAAGATCAATGACTTGATGGATCAGAATGCCTTCTCAGTCGTAGGCCAGCAGTGAAGTCAAAGTAAGAAGATGTTGGTGACACCATTGTCATTGATCCAGGCTTCATGGACTTCATCCATTGTCTTCATCGATCTAGAGATCCTGGATGTCCTTCGTGAGAAGATCAATGACTTGATGGATCAGAATGCCTTCTCAGTCATAGGCCAGCAGTGAAATCAAAGTAAGAAGATGTTGGCGACACCATTGTCATTGATCCAGGCATTAATGTTTTCATCGATCTAGAGATCCTGGATGTCTTTTGAGAGAAGATTGATGACTTGATGGATCAGAAAGCTTTCTCAGTTGTAAGACAGCAGCAGATCCTAAGCATTGCTGTCTGTGACGATTGATCCATGCATCATGGACTTACTCTAAGAGAGATGGATGACGATTGGAAGCTTTTTCTGTGGTAGATTAGCAGGATAGTCTGAGCATGATTTTAATAAGAACTTCAAAGATGAGAGTACCAGTTGTACTTGTAGAGTAAAACAGCAAATGAAATGTGAGACATAAGATCTAGCAATCTCTAATTGTTCCAAAAGATATTTGCAATGCAACATACTGGTAGCCATGAAAATTTGAGTGCTACTGTGGAGAGACAAGAAGTTGATCAGCTAAATTACTACTACTAGTAGCTCATGCTGTAATTACTTTCTAAAAGATGGTCTTTTAGAATTCGACCAGCCACTTTAATAGGCTTGGAGTGTAAATTGTTAAGCAGTTTGACATTCATCGCACATATTCAGAATGATTCTGTGAACTTGGTTTCCATCCTTTTCCATTAAAGTTTTATATTAATGAAGGAATCTAAGTCATCCCCATTTTTGTATGATAAGGTTAAGGAAAGTGGGGGGGGGGGGGGGGGGGGGGGGATCCAAGTTCATCCATATTGGTACAGTATTGTCTGCACCAATAAAGTAAGGGTGATATATAAGTTTTGTTGAGGGGGTGGCAATATGATTATTGCTAATTCATTTTAATGGCACTCCGACAACAAATTCGTATTTTTTAAATGTAAATGAACACCAAAGAAATTCTATGTGTAATAAAAGAGAGATCTCACTGTATGCTTTATGTGTAGCATTGTGCATTCTTAAAAAACTGCATGGATTTGTGCTTAGCAGAAAGACAGGAATCCATTTTTCCCCGTCAGATCTTGCACACATAAAACTAACTCCAAATTAACTTCTATGTCGGTCTTGAAAAAAAAAAATCATCTTTCCCTTTTATGCTCTGTGATCTTGTACCATTTTAACATCTCAATATTTGTATGGGATTGATTTCATATCATCTCATCAAATTTCAAAACTTTTGGTTGTATGTGTGTGTGGTGTGTGTGTGGGGGGGATGGGGGAGGGGGTAATCCCCTTGGATTTATAACACCCGTTTTGAGGCAGTACTTTTATATTTTGCAGGCACAAACCCTTGCCAGCTGTTTCGAGTATCAGTGTCTGCAATATGAGACTATGCATCTTTTAGGCTCTCTGCTCCTGACAAGAATTTGACCCTGCCAGAAACTGACAAGAGTGAGGCCCTGCTAAAGGATTTAAGGAATTGTGAATAAAGTGTCAAATTAAAATCAGTGCGGGCATTTTATGGGGGGGGGGGGGGGGTAGCTGTACAAGGTGAAATGATCATTCAGAGGATACTGTAGTTGACCTAGTGGGGTAGTTGTGGGAAAGGGGGGGGGGGGGGTGATAGTCTAGTAGGCAGAATCAACAATTTTTAACAATAGTTTTGGCATATTTCTGTCCTGTTGCTTTCTTCCAATCTTCATCTTTCACCTTCTGTCTGTTGTTTTCCATATTGTTATCTTCTATTTCTCTTGGCTAATCTCTCACATTATTTTCTCTTCCTCACCCTCTCATTTTCACTTCTTACCTTACTTTCCTTCTCACTCTTTTCCTCCACTTTTTCCTCTTCTTTATTTTTCTCTTTCCCTCTCCCTCTCTCTCTTTCTCTTATGTGTTACAACTTACAATGTATATTATAATATATATATATATATATATATATTCATAACTGGCACTCGATATAAAAACTGAAATCTCAAGTCATTTGAAATAATTTAATCACAGATAATGATTCTTGGATCCCAAGGGATAGAAAAATAGAAAGAGCTCAGCAATCACACAGAATGTTTGGGAAAAAAAAAACTTTTCCATAATGTGAAATTTGAAAATTTAAACCAATGTTAGTGCTATATCATCTCCATTATCTCCAACACTGGTCAACTTTACATAAAAATCAACATGTTTTGGTTATCCTTTGTAGAAGATTTCCCTTGAAATAACATATACATCTGTATTCAACAGTAAGGTGTACCAATGTACTTGTTTAACTAGAATTCACAGTCACAACCAATAAACTTTTTGAAAAGATAAGAGAATGGAGGAGATTACTATCGGAAATACATGAATACTGCAACCAATGATGATCATGCTACTGTTCAATTGTCAGTATACCTATCAGATACACAGTAATATCTTCGGAGCGAAAATCTTAACTTTGGATGCGAACATACAGATGGTTGACCTTTACGAAAGAGTGCTAATGTTGCCTCTCTTACAAATGGGCAGTAGCACATGATTCATGAATAAATTCTATCACGTCACATATGGTATGCAGAAGTTCATAATTATACATATTATTTGGAGTAGTCGTATTAAAAGGCATTACATGGTTCTAGCTAAACAGACTGGTTTACTATAAACATATTCAAATTCATGGATGTTTCTTTCCTGAGGATCCAAGGACAACATTTTCCATCAACTCGTTATTAATGAATGGATCACAATACTTTGAATCCAGCCTGCATAGATTACTTGTTGCTATGGCAGGCAAGCCTCGACAAGCTTCAAGATTGTCAAGGACAAATAAAAAAAAGCATGGATGTTAGGGCAAGGAAAAGTTCCTCCATCTGCCAACTGCTACCCGAGAGCCACAGCACGTGTTACACAGTAGGTGGGAAAGTGTAGCGACACAAGAATATAAAGGCAAGGAAAACAATCCTTATCATGTCTTTGCAGCCACCTCTACATCAATGTCACCTGTCTACAGTGGTCACCTTTACTGTCTTCCTCTAGGGAGGACATGTGTGGATGAACCTGTCCAGAAAGGCCAACCATCTACAGTGGCCATTTTTAGTTTTTGCGTTTCCCTTGGGTTTTTACTGTACTTGGAGTCTTTCAAATCCTACACATGTTAACTCAATATGGTGTAAGTGTAGGGTGTAAATCCGGTGTATTGCACCTGCCGCCCTCAGACGAGACTGAAAGAATCTTCACGATTGAAATAGGCAAGGTAAATTGTACCAATGCCCAAGAACATAAGAAGATAATGTAGAAATGACTATTTTACATTACAGAAATTGCATTCTGAACTGGCCTGGTTGGCAAGTAAAGCAATTCTGATATATTCAGTTTCAAAAAACCACTCAATGGAATGTTCTAATTATAAAACCTGCATAACATTCATTCTATGAACATGTATATTACGCTATTGTTTAAATATGCACACTTTCCCTGAATATTTTGTTTTATTTTCTCATGTTTGAAGTTAGACACAGAGGACACACACACACTCAAACATAATGCAAAGTCCTATTGATGCACACTACAAGCTTGTAGTCCACAGCAATATCCATGAGACATTTTTGAAAAGGACACTTATATAAATATCAGAAGTCATAATTAAATTTGTTGAACTACAGATTTACATTCCATAATCACAAAGATGAGCAAAATGATAAACAAAGATAATATTCTTTGTTTATATGTTTAGACATCTACAATGTCTCTTTTAAAGTGCTTTGCAGATATACAATGAATAAGATATTTCTTATCTTTAATTATTTAAACTCGTATTATAAATTTCAAATAGGCTTCATTTTTCCATGATTCTTCATTTGGTTTATTGCACTAAATATGATTATACCATAGCTTAACAAAATGTTCTGGCATGAAAAGATGTATCCACTATCCAGTATACATGCAAAATGCATAAAAGTTGGTTGGTGATACATGTATTAGTGAATAAAAAGTTGGAAATCTCCACCCCCTGATGATATGGTTCTTCAATGTACCTCAATGCCACAAAACTATGTAACTTTTCATTTTGTACATTATCTTGTACCTTTTCATTTGACCGAGCTAGCTCATTTTCTTTGGTATAAACTGACTAACAGTTCTCTTGGCCCACTTTTAATTCCTTGAGTGTACCAGTAATAGATGAATTAAATTGAATCAATCAAAGAATAAGAAAATTGCTCAATTATCCTTGAAACTAGAAACTTTACTTCGATGTTAACATTTTTGTTCTGAGTAGTTGTGTGATTCTCTTTTTACTGACCATTGCAGTTGGCACACCAAGAAATACAAAATACAATTCACCTGTCTCCAAACTCATTGCGCTCTCCCTCAATGCCATTTTCAAATCATTGAAATTCAATTTACTTCATATCTCTTAAAAATAAGATCAAAGCAATATACATGTATCACCAAATATTGAATTAATTCATACACAAGATAATCAATAATACATTCTCTTTTATAAATGTAATGCTTACTGGGTGTGTAAGCCACAAATATGTTTAAATTCATTCTCTGTTTGAGAAATCATGTTTTCCATCCAACAATCATCTAGCACCTTGAATCATGTCTCATCAACAAGGAGCTTACCTATACTGTCTGTTTGAAGTCAGAAGGGGCGTTGAATCATAGACTGAAACACAGAGTTAGCGCCCTTCTGGCTCTCAACAGACAATATATCAAATTCATTTATAAATGCCATTCTGAATCATACCTAAACTATTAATATATATATTAATATACATCATGACATTTATTATATGTAATAATATATTTCTATGCATATACATGATAACAAAATATGAATGACATTATTCACTATTATGTAAAAATTATTCTAATTTTCTTTCACATGATTGTATATAAAAGTAGGCTATCACAAACAAGAAGTGTGAGGTACTATTAACAGACCTGTTTTCAAGAGTTACAGTAAAGGCTTGTTCAGATATGACACCGCAAACCGATGCAAAAATAACAAAACGCTGTTTTATGTGTTATTGAATGGTAACTGCATGCAGTAAAGGTCCTGCACGTATTCACCTAGCCTATAATCTAGGCGGAGTGCCGAGCTTTTTTCTTTGCTGCTAGACTAACCCTAAGCAGAACGTCTGATACGGCGAGACTACGAACTGTGAGTCGCAAAGCGGCTCACCGCCTATAATCACTGGTCTAGCTAATCAATATTCATATATATTCAAAATGGCGGATCTATGAATCATTCAACAGCCCTACCAAATAAGGTACACCTATGTTACGTTCGACCAATCAGATATAAGAAACCGCAACGAGTCATCATGATCATAGAATCCGTGGTCGCGTAGAAAATCACAGCACAAGGGGATTGCTTGGTATATTGCACTCTTTCCAAAACCAGTAGGTAATGCAACAAAAATATCCCTGCCGGCTTCAATAACGCTACGAATAGCGGATTCCTGCAGTTCTCTGAATTTTCCATTAGGAATGCCTAGTTTGTTGGCCGTATATGATAAACTTTCTCGCAGAAGATCGTCGTCGCATGAACTACCCGCCATCTTGGATGAAGAAAATGACGTAATGTCACGTGATTTATAATATGCATATGCATAGACTCTTCTCCATACGTATTTCTGATTGGTTGAGTTCATTTCGTATTCATGAGGTTTTTTCGTACAAAAAACTGCCACGGATTCATGGTCGATAATAAAAAAACAACGACTAAAGCTAGACCAGTGATTATAGGCGGTGAGCCGCTTCGCGGCTCACGGTTCGTAGTCTCGCCGTATCAGACGTTCTGCTTAAGGTTAGTCTAGCAGCAAAGAAAAAGCTCGGCACTCCGCCTAGATTATAGGCATGTATTCACCGGGCACTGTGTTATAAGATACAGAAATGGGACACGTATCACACTTTACATCATTGTAAAAAATAATTAATAAAGATATTGTTGCATCATATCTGAACAAAGCCTTACATTAATAGACAGTGATCCAACATTTGCTCCAGTGCAATTGCTCATGGCTTTATTTCATAAAAATACAGTCAAACCTGCCTCAGTGGAGACATCTCTATAAAGGCCACCTGTCTATAGTGACCATGTCTCCCTCGAGAAAGGAATGTGTGTTGTAGAACCTGTCTAGAAAGGCCACCTATCATCATACCATGATTGTTATGCAATATTTCAGTGCTGTGGATAGTTGACTCTCTATGTACAGTCATTGGATACATGCTTATGGTAGATGATCCGATGAAAAGATTTGTTCAGTCTCCCATGTACAAAGCGTTAGTTATGAAATCTGGATACAAAGATGTGATCATAAAAGGAAGACCAGTACAGATTTGATCTGTAAGAATTCCTGATTGTTTTTATGCATAGCTATAGATCTCACTACATTTGTGTACACTATAATAGTTGCAATATTATTTCACAACATATTTGATATAAGTTGTGTGGTTAATTTTACAACATATGTAAAAAAGAAAATCTAAACAAAAATCATAGTAAGATTTGTCTATAATGGGTAGTAACTTCCTTTCTTTCAAAATAAAGTCATAATGATGTGCAGCACAAAGAGTTCACTCAATTTTACAACGGATGAAAATGATTTCTTGTACAATAGGTGGGGTTCAACACAGTGTCTGGTAGGGTTCAACACAGTGTCCGTCAGAGGTTATACAGGATGTCTGTCAGGGTTTCACACTGTCTTACCGGGTTGGTCAGGTTTTGACATGGAGTTCAGTTAGGGTCTGACATAGTGTCTGTCAGGATTTCACAATGTTTGTCAGGGTTTTACATGGTGTTCAGTTAGGGTCTGACATAGTGTCTGACATAGTGTCTGTCAGGATTTCACAATGTTTGTCAGGGTTTTACATGGTGTTCAGTTAGGGTCTGACATAGTGTCTGACATAGTGTCTGTCAGGATTTCACAATGTTTGTCAGGGTTTTACATGGTGTTCAGTTAGGGTCTGACATAGTGTCTGACATAGTGTCTGTCAGGATTTCACAATGTTTGTCAGGGTTTTACATGGTGTTCAGTTAGGGTCTGACATAGTGTCTGACATAGTGTCTGTCAGGATTTCACAATGTTTGTCAGGGTTTTACATGGTGTTCAGTTAGGGTCTGACATAGTGTCTGTCAGGATTTCACAATGTTTGTCAGGGTTTTACATGGTGTTCAGTTAGGGTCTGACATAGTGTCTGTCGGGATTTCACAATGTTTGTCAGGGTTTTACATGGTGTCAGGATACATCTCCTTGAGTTCCTTGACAAAGAACTTCCTAAGGTCGACTCGTTTGAGCTTCTGTGTCGGGGTCATCAGACCGTTGTCAATCTCAAATGTTCCAGGATACAGGTGAATGTACTTTGCCTGTGATAGATCAAAAAGTGACAAGCCATTTTAAATTATTACATTTTCCATTTCATAAATTGTTCAATGTATGCGTTTCACGTTCAATGCTCCATTCCGACTACGAAATGGTTAACTGTCTCAAAAAAGCATTGAGACAATAAAATCAATTGCCAGAGGAGGGGTAAAAAAGAAAATACTGTGTGCAACAGAGGTCTCTACGCATGTTCCGCAATCTCTAGGCTTTAAGATACAGAGTATGAAGTGTGCTATATTGTCTTATGTCCCACTCTCTATGCGAATTTACCAACAAGATTTACAAACAGTATATGAAATCAAAAAAATTTGTTCAGCACTATTAGTGACAATCTTCTTCTTTGAAACCTTCAAATTAAAAAAAAAAACTTAATTCATGATACATTAGTGCAGAATACATACTGTATAAATTATACAAGAAGACTGTATCAATGACAATTTACATGCTTGTGCCAAACATTTATCTTACTTGTTCGAAAGCTTTGAGTCCTGCCTCCTTTCCAATCTTCATCAGATCATCCAAGACACCTTTCTTTATTTGCTGTATACAACACAAACAATAAACAAACAATGGTTGGTTAGGTGCTTGGCCTATACAACACAAACAATGAACAAACAATGGTTGGTTAGGTACTTGGCCTATACAACACAAACAATGAACAAACAATGGTTGGTTAGGTACTTGGCCTATACCACACAAACAATGAACAAACAATGGTTGGTTAGGTACTTGGCTTATACAACACAAACAATAAACAAACAATGGTTGGTTAGGTGCTTGGCCTATGGGAATGAAAGTATTAAGTAGTTAATGGGTTATGTAACTTCTAAATTCAAGCTATGGCTGGAGTAGAGGAATAACATCATGATTTAGAAACAACATCATTATGATGTGGGCCCTGTTTCGTAAAACCTTTTATCAATAACAACTGCCACAGATCTATGACAAATCTGTTCATAGTCAATCAAATACAGTGAAACCTGTCTATAAAGACCACCCAAGGGAGACAAGAAAGGTGGTCTTTATAAGCAGGTGGTCTTGCAGGGTCCTTTTGTACATGTTTCAATGAGAAAACATTTTCAAGGGAAACAAAACATGTGGTCTCTGTAGACAGGTGGTCTTTCTACACAGGTGGTCGCTAATGCAGGTTTGACTGTATAAGGATTTCAGGAGCTTATAACAATTATCATACCCTGCTCATGGATATGATGAAACAGGGCCGAGAGTCAAGGAACAAGGGACTCGATCGAGTAGAGGAATGTTCTCAAAGGAAGGGATTAGCTAGTTGGGGTTATGGTAATACCAAACTGAGATTCAGCTGGTCTGAGGATGGACCCTGCCAAGCAATGAAGTCCTTGGAAAACATCAATCTTCATTACAACTCTCCAATCACATGACGTAATGCATATCTGGTACAGTGAAACATGTGTGTAAAGACTCCTCAAGGGAGACAAGAAAAGTGGTCTTTATAGGCAGGTGGCCTTCATGTACAGGCTTTTAAATGAGTTTTTCAACGGAAAAGAAATATGAGGTCTTTTTTGGAGAGGGGATCTTTCTATACAGGTGGTCGCTAAAGCAGGTTTGGCTGTATAAGCAGATTTTCTTGATTGCTAAGGCACATTTACATGAAAACTCTGCAAAAGTGGGTAGTATCTTCAAGATACAAACCAATGATGTCATTATTTACAAATGGTACAATTTCTTACGAGAACTCCACACTATACCTCATTTTTGCAGAGTTCCTCTAAGGATCCTTTGACACCCATCTTACTGGCTAATGCAGGAAGAGTCTCAGGGTTCACCGCTCCAATAGCTACAGCATAGGACTGCAACGAAACACAATTCATTAGACCTTTGTTGAACCAGGCAATGATGGTTCTCATACTACGCTCCAATAGCTACAGCATAGGACTGCAACGAAACACAAATCATTAGACCTTTCTTGAACCAGGCATGATGGTTCTCATACTACGTATTCCTCAAGGATAGAAGCTTCCATTTTCAATTGAAATGAGAATCAGCTCCAATGAGATTGGATAAGGCACAAACAGTGATTTCTACACACATCTATTTGTCAGGGACAGAAACATATGGCTTCAATAAGGAAGGTTACATGCAGAAGAAATAGAAAAAATTAACATTATGCAATGACTTGAAGTAGTATAGGTGCAACTTTGAAGAATATTCCAACTTTACATATATATTCCACAAGAACAGAAAAACAGAGGATGTGCTTCAGCTTTATTTTGAGTTTTGACCTAAAAGCATATACAAAAACTACTACTTATCATTTTTGATTTACCCTGTTTGCTTTGAAAAAGAATAGAATATGAGATTGATTACCTGCAGACTATCACCGTAGATCCAGATTTGCTGAACCAGTGAACATGATGAATACACAGTCTCAATCTTCTCCGGTGCTAAGTACTCGCCCTGAGTGATGCAATAAAGAAGAGAAATACCCAAACAAATATATTTACTTTGCCTATATAGTAACTTCCCTGTACAATACCTAACAGGAATTTCATGTAAAGAGAAACAGGATTTTCTGCCACATACAGAAAGGCGAGGGGCTGAAACAGGATCAATGGATTTGCGTTGAGAAAATCAAGTACTTTAAAAGAAGATAAATCATTATCCCCTACCAATACCTCTATTGAAATATTGGTGATTTCTCATGCAATATTTTATGCTTGAAGAAAAATGAAGTAAACTGTATGACATCCAAGGACCAACGGAAATCTAATCCCTTTTAAAATTCAATTCCTATTACTTTTTTTTATGACAGAAAGATATAGGCAACAAATGATCATCTGAAAGTATGCATTTTATCTCCTCTGTAATTAATGAACTTAAATATGAAATAAACACCAGTATATTTTGTGTAATTTTCTTCACATACCTGTGCCAGCTTGAATATGTTTTTCCTTCTATCAATGATCTTCAGAGTTCCGTTCTGTAAAACGTATTCATGAAAAGTGATTTCATTATTCAATATAACATGTTCATCACACATGGTGAAATACATGTACATACTTAAAGAGGAGGTTGAGTTCTGGGAAGAGGTGAAAAATAATTTGTGAGCGTTATCATTGTATTATGCAAGTGTGGAAGAACATCACATAAAACATGTACCCTGAAAAGCATGGCTCTACAAATGCCTTAATATTCGAAGTATGGCATGTAAAATCATAAAAATCGGAACGGATTGTTTCGCCACGTGTTCGTTTAGTCCCATATACATCTATTTTTGTACAGTGCTTGTAACTTTACCAAGACTGGGCTAAATTTCTTAGCATTTTGATGATTCCAGAACCTTGCAATACACATAAATACTATGCTAAATGATCAATCGATTCTGATCGATTCCACAACGTTTCTTTCACAATGCAATCGCTTGACCGGAACTCAACCTTCTCTTTAACAAAAAAAAACAAATTTTTTGGGTCAAGTTTTCCTCATTTGAAATCAGAATGATGGATCATAATTTGTAATTGAAATCTTATTCCATGAGCATAAAAATTAAATATCCAATCGATCACTGAAGTTGGTGGGAGGGCTCCCTTCAATGATTTTGACAAATTGAAGTGAAGTTTAAATAATATTTGATTTCTGTTCCTGTGCTTTATTGAATTCTTGTAAAAAACAAGATGATTTGACTGTATAGGTTTTACAAACTATTTTTTGTGCTATATTTATGAGCCAGGATTGCTATCTGAAGAAACAAGTTGGACCGACAACATAACTGACATGAAAGTCTCCCCACCCCTGTTCAACAATTATGCACTTCTGTTATATTTTTCATGCACTAGATAATACTTATGGGGCCCATGATGTAATATTCAATCAAATATTCAGAAAAACTAATCAAACCGATAACACTAGCACAAGTTGAAAGAATTTGTCTACAAATTACATCTGTAAGTGACTATGATAAAATCTTGAAACAAGCCTGCGATTGTTAGCATTTATTGCTATAAAGAGTTGAGAAGAGAGGGAATCTTGGTACTGACCGGGAGCCACATGCCAATGTCGCCTGAATGAAGCCATTCCTCGTCATCAAGCGCTTCTTTCGTCTTCTCTGGGTTGTTCAAGTATCCCTTGAATACGTTTGCTCCACGGAAACAGATCTAACAGGAGAACAAATACCGGTATGTGATTTACTTCCGCAGATACAAATTTCCTAAAACAGAAAAATGCCTCATCTATTCTTGCACATGTTGAAGTACATGTAACTGCTGAGTACAATGACTCCTTCAAAACTTGTCTATTTGTCAGTAACTTAAAATTATAACTCATTTACTCTAGCAAAGGTTGAGGTAACTCTTAAGCGCATAATGAAAGAGGACTGCATCTGATCTGGGCTATAAACAATTATTCTTCATCTATCTGTGATCTATCCCGTCAGGACAGGATATACTAATTTCTACTCCTAGGTAGAGAAGAAAAAGTGAATGTTTACTGGCCAGATATGATCCTTCGCTTAAAAATCCAAGATTTTCAGGCTATTTCAGAAGCTTGCAACTGTGGTATTTTAAAAAGAATTTTGCTCTTCTCCAAAGTACAAGAGATCATATATACAATATGCAAGCCTGAAGTTGTTGTTGTTGTTGTTGTTGTTTCCTACCTCTCCTTTGTTTTCCTTGGCATAGTATTCCATCTCTGGTACATCGATCAGTTTGATCTCACAGCATGGCAGAGGTGGTCCAACCTGACCTGAAACATAGAAGGAAGATATCATGTAACGTAAGAGTTCCAATCATAAGATCATTGTACACATAAAATCAACAGTAAATAACTATTGCCCCACAAGGATAACAACCCTTTAATAATCATCCTCAGACAATAACCCCTGAATAACTTCCCTAATCCTCAGACAATAACCCCCTATTCAAAGAACTACCCCCTAGGGTATATCTGTATCTAGAGGTCCATTGCTGTCCAAAATTGTTACCTGAGGGATAGCTGCCAAAGAGTTGTTACCCTATGCGAGGATGGTAAAAGTCTGGGGGTGGTAGTACATGTGTGTTATCGTTGTAAATGAATCACCACTTTATGATTTTACAAGGCTGTATCACTCCCTCCCCTCCCCCAGACAACTACCCCATAGAGAAATACCCCAGTCCCCCTTGGTAACTACTCCCTGGGGCATGTAGGTAGAATGGTCTAAGACTATTACCACGTACTGAACTTCTTACCGGTTGTATGGTCTCCAGGCAAGGTCAATGTACTGATAACAGCTGACTCAGTCTGACCATAGCCCTCCAATACCTGTACCATACAAAATAACAAATAGACATATAATTCACAATAACCATAACTATAATTAATTTGTTCCAAAAAAAATAAAAAGCATAAAAAGGTTAAAGTGATTGAAAATAAAAAAAAAACATTTTTATGACAATTTTTTCACTCGGCATTGATTGGGCTATCTCAAAATTTGGCATGATGATCTATACTTGGTACTTTTTAGAGCAAGTTTCCCTCAGCTTTAGTATAAATTATCTCAACTTGCCAGTGATTGATTTTGGTTGTTGTTGGTGAAATATCTAATTTGAATCAGTCAGGTTATCGTAAGTTGAAATCTCATACTTGCCAATACGATGTATAATTTTCTCTGCTTGAAAAATACTCATTCAGTTCTGGTTTAGGTTGTCTTGCTACCCGTAATATGATATTTTGAATATAGAATACCACTCTTTGGCTCATTTTTCAGCCCTATAACACAAGGATGTTATAATAATTGCTAAGTTCTCACCGGCACTCCCAGCACGCATCTTAAGAATGAGATGACTTCTGGTGAGAGAGGTGCAGCACCGGAGAATACCACCTCCAGGTTACCACCAAGCACAGCCTAGCAATAACCAAGCAGAGAAAGAGGATAAACTGACATACAAATTATGTAAATTACATACATTAGTTGTTGCATGGTAGGAATGTAACTTGCCCTACCTAACAACAAGAAATACATGCATTTGACTTTTGAAATACAATTATTTGTAACAGGTGAATGAAATCATTTGTAACGAGGCACTTCATGAAGTCATATGCATTACACTTTATTACATTACAAAATTGGCCTATTAATATGTATCAAGAGAAAGTATTATTACTTGGAATTATTTTTTGAACCTAAATGATGAATACCTTGAGAAATGTTTAGAGTAAAATTATTCCTAAATATCTCAAGGATAATCTATAGAGGGAAAAATGAAGGGGACAGATTTTACGATTTCATATATGATAAATAACATTTACAAGATCTATGCATACCATACACCAACTAAGGCTTCATAAAGTATAAAAATAACTATCAAAGAAGTATCAAAATAAACACCACAAAAGGATTATCTTAAATTAAATTGATCCTCAATAAATTATATTTGCAGACTACAGATAATGTTATACAGAATTTCAGAATACCTGTATCTTCTTGAAGGCGAGTTTGTCCCAAATGGTGTTATTCCTGCATATTCCCCTGTAAAGACAAAATAAATATAGCATACAAGTCCTAGGAAATACCGAGTTATACCAAGTACCAAGGAAATATATGGAATGGGGTATACACCAGACCGTAACTCAATAAATCGTAGTCCAGAGTAGGAAAGAACTAGAAAAAAAGAGGGCATCGATAGATTTCCAAGATTCATATACATCACAAACTCTTAAGGCTCTTTCAGATATGGTGCAGGTAAATTGCCCCCAAAAGGCTGCCACGTTATTGTACCTGTAAATGAATGGTAACAGCGGGCAACAAAGGTCCTATGCATATTCAGTGAGCTGTGAAGTTTATTACAATTCACGTCATAAAAAAAGCTCCAGCTTTGCTGCGCCATATCTGAAGAAGGCTTTAAGAAACGAATATGTGTGTAGATCTAAAAGATGGCAAATACTTATACTGAATATTGGCAAATAACAAAAAAATTGTTTCAAAGTAAATCGGCTACCTAGCTTACTTTTCAAGGTCAGCCATCTTGCTTTTCATTCCCATGTTGAATATTGTCTTCTTGATCCAATTGGTTCCGTTTACACCTTGCATGACCTAAAACACACAAACATTGAACAATGAAACAAAGATAGCCACATAGGTACACTTAATATATCATATTACTGGTTATGAATTATGAACTTTACACTTTAGAAGCATATTTGAAGTTACAAGCTCATGCTTGAGAATAACTGGCGATGAATCTTAAAAATATATTGCTGCCCTATAATACCCTATACCAACAAGATGCACTAACAAATAAAAAAAAACATCTTATTTCAAAAATTAATGCTCTTGATCAAAGATTTAAGTTACAAAAGAGAATTTCTGCAAAGAGTGAGAAAGATATTCATGTCCTTTTACAGGAAGGTGATGTTAGAGCACTCATTAACTCTTTATATGCCACACAATGAATCTCTCTGTGCCACACTGAATGTACCAATAGATACCAATACCAGTGCAAGTTCAATCTATACTGGTGCTGGAGTTAACAAGACTGGATATGGGTATTTTGTTCAAATCAATTGTGAAGCACCAAACAAGCCTTCTGTCAATTCGTGCCTATTGGTTAGTGCAAAATTGCATGTGTGGCAAATGAGTGACTGCGAGTACTGAAAACAATGACTGATCTACGGTAGTCCAACTTGCTTTAGTGTGGATAGATAGGGATCTACGCAATAATCACTTATTCGTGGTAGTTACTTGTATTTTCTCCCACTCGGATGAACGTGTTGTAGAACCTGTCTACAAAAAGCCACTTTGTTACAATGGTCTCTTTTTGGCTTTACTTTGGTGACCATTATAGGCAGGTTAGATATATAATGTTGAGAGCCTACCTTATCATGAACTCTATTGAGAAGCCTTGGGACGGAGCAGAATCCGCTGGGTCTCGCCATCTTGACATCATCGATGATGACCTTCACGTCTCCACGGTAGAATGCAATCTTCCCGCCATGCATCAGCATCATGAGCTGTAACAGGACACAGAAGATATGTACTGACACCATCAATATAACATACAGGGCAAGAGCATCACATAAACTAACCAGAAGCATTGTGAAAATGCAAGAAAAAGCGTGTGTATCGATTTTTAAAGTACCCTTTGCACAACGGTGCACGAAGAGGGAAGTGTGCAGATCTCAGTGTGTGCTGTAATGAAAACCTATCAAACTTGGGGTTTATCTTTTAGCAATAATTACACAAAACAATCTTGAATCACACAAAAACAATTTAGAAATTGTGCTCAGCCTGACGGCTTCATTTGATAGATGCATACAGCCTCAACTCAAGTGCAGAATCGATAGTATAATGAATTCATTCGCATGTATCATTTATATACGGTAAAGTTATATTAGCAGAAGTGTACTTACGACATTAAGTCTCTCATACATATGAGCGAGAGGGAGGTATGATATGTGGCACTGGTCTGGAATGAATGTAAGAGCAGGCTAAAGAGATAGAGAGAGAGAAGGAAAAGAAAAAGATAACGATTTACTAATATACTGAGTAATATGATGCTATTAATTCCCAGCCAGTAGAGTACATTTATATTGTAGCTGAGCAAAACTCCATTTCTTACACTGATGTCCTAACTTGATAATACTCTTTGCAATCTAACAAAGAATATTTGTCATTTTAAAGTTCTTTCTTATCAGTAATTCTCATTTTGGTTTCCAAATTCTTAAATCAAAATAATTTAAGGAATCCCTAATTTTTTTTCCTTTCTAAATTGAAATGATCTCATTTCCCTTTTGTTATCATATAATTTTTTATTCAAATACTCAGGGCAATTTTAACAAATTAATACATACCTTTCCAATAAGGTCTTGTGTTTTCTTTCCTCTCATTTCTTTTTATCTCACTGACAAATAAAATGACATGCAAACATGCATAAAATTTGTTTGAAAATTATTAATTGCTGCGTTTGCTTTGATTTCCGTTCACCACAATTTCTTCCAAAAATTAAATTCTGAATAAATCTATACACAATGTTTGTTAAGGTGAAATACAATCAATTTGGAATCTCTATCATTTACAAATATAAGAACAAGAAGGAAATGCGGTGCAATAATAACTTACATAGCATGCTTTCTGTAATCCTGCTCCTGCTGCTATGATGTTTGCATGTGTCAGCATTGCACCCTTTGGATTGCCTGTCATCACAGAGATAGACAAATAGAATTAGTCATATTCAACAGGCAGAACAGCAGGGAGCAAGAGACTGGTTTGCCAACATATTCCAATTTTATGTATACATTTTAAACAAAGGTTTATATATTTATTCATTTATTTATTATAACATGTTTTGGGGGGTGGGCAGTAACTTTATTTTGACTGCGTCATTAAATAAGCCTTGGAGCTATGGAGTGCACAAATATTACTGCAGAACGTCCTTAAATATATAGACCGGTAGAGGTAAAATTGCGGTTCAATATTGTTTCAATATTGCCTTCAGAGGTTTAGATGGCAATGTTGAAGTGCATTCGCGATGTCTATCAAGGCCGGATCGATATGATAATTTACCAAATATATCAATCAGTAGGCGGTTTCCCGCCAAAATTTGTATCATCACGTATTAGTCAAAACATATTCTTTCACATGATTGGTAACAGGAGCTTCCATTTTTATTTTTTGAGAGGGGGGCGATTCCGAAACTTGTCTATACCTTTAATTCTATCTTTAAAATCAAAACTTCCTCTGGTAGACATCTTCTCGAACTCTACCAAACATAACCACAGATTGCCAGGAATAAAATGTAACTGGCATTGTATGCTTGTACGAGCTTGAGAAAGTAAAGCCTCTTACCTGTTGTTCCACTGGTGTAGCAAACAGTATACATATCATCTTTCTCTGGAGGCTGGAGAGAACAAATTAGGTACACTTTGAAAAATTTATTTGGGTATGAGAGAGAGGTTATATGTTAAAACAAAAGAACCTGTTGTGTCATCACAATCACTGAAAAGGTAAAACAGCAAGTCAAGTGCGTTTATTCCAGCTGGAAGAGCAGTCTGTATTGCATCATAGTTGCTGTGTTTTTTTATAATTTAAAAGTATTTGAGATATTAATGCCTATTTTGAAGAAAGCTTTAATAATATATTTCAGTATTTTGTCAAATCAGAGATGACATTTTGTAGCATTATACACAATATTAATGACATCTTAAGATTTGTTTGATGTAAAATAAAGCAGAATGATTTTATTAGAGTGATAAAGAACCATTTTCTTACATGTACATTCTATTTATATGCACCATGCTGATGAGTATGATATAAGAATCTAGCATTAGCGTTACTATTATCATAATCTTTATGGAGTTGAAAAAGTTAGCACCTCCCATATCGCCTGTCCATTTCATATTTTATTTTTATACTCAAAATATGACAAGGAAAGGCTAAAAAGTTTAGACCAAGCTTTCCTTTAACACTTTATAAACCCTTCTTCATCATTAAATGTCAGGAAATACATTTTCCCCAGAATGTGGTTCAGGAAGTCATACTCACTGATGGATCCTGCATGTGTTTCTTCCCAAGTTCCTGAATGAAAAGATATATACATACAATAAAACGATTGTTCTCATTGCAAGGTCATGAAAATATATTCAGAATCAGTGAACTAAGAACATATTTCTCTTCCATCTTAGGGCATACAGGCGGTGCCTATATTTGAAAATTTAAGTGAATACCACTACATGTTCACAAGCCTTTGAACAGAACGTTGTTATATACCCAGCCTCATTAAATTGTTAAAAAGATCCAAAGGAGGGACAATGCAACTACCCCCAAAAAAGTCTCATTGATATCTAATGCACAAGGGACATTACCTCATGTGTGATTTGCACCATGCAAAAACTGAATACAATTATTTCAATTTACCATCCTCATCTTTATCATATTCAGTCATGAAATTTTCTCTAGATTTCATTTTTTTTTAAAGGTTTAGGGTTACAGTTACAAGTGGGTTTCAGGTTAAGTTTAGGGTTAGGGTTGGGTCCAGGGTTGAGTTAGCGACTCAGAAAGTGTTGGAAATTGGTGCAGAACGATTGTCATAGAAGTAACTGAATTGATCCCATTCTTAACATTAAACATGCTCTAAAACCCATGAAGTCCACATCACTTACTCTGAGCTCCTGTAGTGTGAAGATCTGTACATTGGCATCCTGTGCTTCCTGCTTGATTTCAGGTGTGATCTCTTTGGGTAACATGCCGATGATGATCTTCAGGGAAGGGCTTGATGAAGCCTTCTCTAAGACGGCTGAGATCCTCTTCGTAGTGTCACATACTACAATGGAGATATCTCCTACAACGTACACAGTGTAAACAAAATAATATTAATAGTTCCATTGTTATAGTGCAATGATACATTTCTAAATGTTTTACATGAAAGAACTTTCATCCAGTCTGTAGTTTACAGGTGTTATTGTTAGACTTTCAATGGAAATTTCACTCTTGGTATTAAACATTTAGGACTATTGTACACTTGACAAACTATTGCACTGAATACCATAATTCTGTTTCATGACAGATGTATCATTATCAAAGTTTGCCCACCTCTTTATGCCTCAAACGTTATTTTTGACAAAATGAAATGTTATATGAGATTTCTTCATGGGCAATTTTCCTGGCTTTTTCTCTTTTTTAAAAGCTTTTTCTATTTGAATTATTATAATTATTTTTCATAGAGTTCAGCATCCTTCTCCAATTTGTGAAGCTAAATCTTTCTGCGATCTTCTTCCAAGATAGAGAGAGAGAGAGAGAGAGAGAGAGAGAGAGAAAGAGAGAGATTGGGGGAGGGGCTGAAAGCATTTCAGTGTTTGTATATCTAATTTGTTTCAAAATCTAATGCAGGAAACAAACATGAGATATTTTAGCTTTCCAATGTCAATGCTCTTGATAGTGTGCAACAACCCACTTTACCACTTCCTCCATCTATTCCTCTGTATAAAATAATTTGCCATTTTAAGCTGACGATAAAAAGATGGTCGATTCATTAATTGAATACCTTGGTTAATGATGTACGAGCAGACATCAGGTCCTAATGTGTCGTAGAGAGGAACGTTGACGAGGGAGTATGTGATACATCCTACCTCAAACAATCCCCACTGAAAAACAAACAAATAAACAGACAATTAAAACACGAAATTGGGTACAAAAGTGATTGAAATACACTAAAACAAGAGACTTCCTAATCAGGTTACATAATGACTAATACTGTTGATTGAAATAAAAATCCAAATGATGTTTAACATTTTAAGAAATACAATTTGAGAGTCTTTCAGAAGTTTTGATAAAGAGATGGGGAGGGATGGAAAACTGTACGGGGATAGTACAGCAGATATAACTTTGATAATTTCCAAGGACAATGAACAAATTGTCATTACAAACAAGTTATGTCTTTAAAAAATATCTATCAAATATTATTTACTTATATATGTCAATGTTGAACTGGTGGATGATACATTCATATAAAGCTACGAACATGCTTGGTTAACTTTTGGTTTGCACTGAGCCTGTCTAATTCCTAGTGTCCTGAATATGTCAATCATGTATGGAATATAGAGAGTAAAACCTGTCTATAAAGGCCACACGAGGGAAACAGAGAAAGCGGGAACTGTATACAGGCTGCCTTTCTAGACAGGTTTTTACAACACACATTGTTTTCTCCAGGGAGACAAAATACATGGTCACTATAGACAGGTGGCCTTTATAAAGAGGAGGCTACTAAGACAGGTTTAACTGTATATTTATTATGTTGTATGTATGTACAAATATAATATTACCTCTAGTCTGTTCTGTGCATAGATTCCAATCAAGGCCTCTGACTTTGGTTTGAGTCCAAGGTGGATTAGACCAGATCCAATCTCCTTGGCTGACTCATACACCTACATAAAAATATGAATTAATCAGTATTATTGGTTATGTGTACAAGAAACAATGCGGATATCTCCCAAATAATTGGCAATATCTCTCACATATGCAGATTTAGATTTATAACCACTACTTAAGCCCTTAGACCTCCCCTTTCTCATACAAATGAAATGTATTGGTCTATCCTTCTAGGTCTCTCTCTCTCTCTCTTTCTATTTTCTTCTCCCTTCTCCCCCTCCAGATCTCTCACCTTCTTTCTGTATGTCTGTTTCTCTTTCTCTCTCTCGTATGCTCCCTCTCTTTTTCTCTCTGTCTCTCTGTCTCATAATATTGTACACATAATCCTTGACACTACTACGGATAGCATCACGAACCGTATCTCTACAATTATTATGAAGTACTTCGATCAAAACACGACCCGATAGACAAATCACACCATACATGTAAAGTGCAATGAACTTTTGATTGATAAAAAACATGCATGATAGAAGATAGGAGCATACAAGCATTATCATAAATCAATTTGCATTGCAAAATGATAACAAATAATTGAAGTGATAAGGTATAATAATAGTGCACCAACACGCCACACTTGATAAACAAATTGGTTTATTCTTAATTTATCTGAAAGACTAAAAGAGGAGAACAAAGTCTATGGATGTCAGAAGCCTGTTGAGTGTCAGGGAATCACGAGGCCTTAACAATGCAGAAAAATAAAAGGTATTTTTAACTACATTTACACTACTGAAAAACCCATAAACGTTGTAATTTGATAAATCTTTCTTTTTGTGAGGGGGGGGGGGGGGCGAGTGGTACTCAGATGCCACTTGTTGCTGCTCTGCATGTTTTAGCATAGAAGCAAGGAGAGTCACCAAAAACCAGAATAATTCAACAGTGATTGGAAAGCAAGCAATTTGCACTGCAAACATTGGTGGAGTTTTAGCTGGCGTTTAAAAATAAAATCACACTCCACAGGTGGGTTTAATGAT